GGTGTACTGCTATTATCTTTGTCGCCCCTCCGCGGCTATCGTGGGAGCGCTGCTATTCTATTCGTGCAGCAGCAGCAAGTAGACCCCTCCCGCTAGAGATCGAGGTGGTGGTGGTGGTGGTGGTTCGTACGGAGATATGCAGCTAGGAGCTTATGCCAAGGCGATCCGCAAATGAACGGCAAAAGCTAGTAGCGAAATGTTTCGATGAAGGTTTTAGTTTTGCATCAGTGTTCGAATGTGTTGAGGGATAGATTCGGAGATAAGGCTGGCAGGTTCAGCTGGCTGGGGGATGGGTCGCTGTTTCTGTTTTGTTTCTGTTTCTGATCCTGCTTTCCTTGCGCTTCGTTCCTTCCTCCTTTCGAGTGCCCTCAGCAGGCTGTGTCTGGCTTCAAGGATGGATGATTCAGGAAGAGGGTCGAAGATAACAACGGCAAGGTCATCTGTAAGGTACGCGGGACGTCTTTTTATATCCAGCGCACCATGACCAGAATCGTAGTCAGGGCGACATCATCTGCGCCTTGGCCGGGTTGTCTTCTGACCCATGGCCTACCTGTCCATCGTCCATCAAGGAGGAGGAGACGTGAGATGGTGGTAGGGGTTTTCCTGCACCAACCTGACTACTAATTACCTCCATGTCCGTCCGTTGCTCTATTACGGCTGCGACCACTAATTGTTTGTAATATTACGGCCTAGTACCTCTCACCACACACCTCTTTTGCCTATCACTACTTCCCAGGTAGGCATCGTCTCATTCTATCTAACCTGGACCTCTGCCCTCCATCATCCGCCGCTGGCCATCATGCTGTTCGCATCCAAGGGGGGCGTGACTCTGGCTCTAAGACACCAAACCCAACCTTTCCATGTCGATTCTTCGCCGCCATCGTGTTTCGTCATGGCATCGGCCGTCCCCGCCGAGTCTGGGGGATCCTCTGAGGGTCCTCAACACCAGAACGTGGACACGGAAAAGGGTCATGGGTTTTTCTTTTTTTCCCCCATAGTCGCGCGCAGCCTTGGAACCATCTTTCCCATACTTCCCTTTCCCTGGCCCTGTTTTTTCCACCCTTCCTCTCTAGACGCACTCCTCCATGTTGGTACTTGGTATGGATGGTATGCAGAGCCACACGGACCTCCGGGTAAGGCTTGATGCACGAACAGGGAGATGGCCTGGGCTAAGCTTCGAACTGCTAGGCTACCCGTCTGCCTGCATGGTCGATGTGAAAGAATCAAGGAGGCAAGACATGAATGCAGTTGGATGAGTGAGGCTGCATCGCCGCGGCATCGCTGCTGCATCGGCCATGGACGTTGTGCGCGCCTGTCCCGGCCACTCAGCGCCCGTCAGCTCTCTCTGCTGCAAGGAACGCCCCTGGCTGATTTGTGGTGGTCCTAGTGGTCCTGGTGCCATCGTGATCCCGCCCAGCCCGCTGCTTTTTTGGCCTTGGGTGAGCTAAGATTCGGGCCGGAGCGGTCGGTATCTGCCTCGTCTGTCTGCCCATCTACATTTCCACCTACAGTCCTGCCGCATCACGCAAGGTACCGAGTACGATGCTGGATGGTGATCATCCGTCGTATTGTCTAGGTACCATGTAACAGGTGTGTAAGAAGGTAGGTTGCGGCCGGCCAAGGGACCACCAGATTGATTAGATCCCCACGTCACGTCGCCACCACCCATGAACCATGATGATCTCCTGCAGCTCTGCTTGGCTTATCTGACCTGGCTTCGTCTGCTCCCGTTTCATGCACGATGCAAGATGAGAAACGGCGAAATCCTTTAGTCCTTGTTACGAAACTCGACCAACTTCCTGGTTCCCGCCTCAGGTCTGACGTCTTACATCAGATAAACAACCACTTGCAAAGAGGGAAAGCTGCCACTCACCAGCCTGCCTCGACCTCCATCTCTCTGGTCCCCTACACCCTCTTCTTCATGTCCTCTGCGCAGGACTCTACTCATCATGGTCAAGCGCAACATACCTGCGTCTCATGGTCTCTGCTACCGCACCTCTATCTTCCCAAGAGGGCAGCCAGAAATAAGCATGACCTCTTGATAGCTATCCCCGTGGCCACTGATGGGTTGGTTGATGGCCATCCATCCTCTTCCTCGCACGACTCGGAGGAGATGCAACAACTCGAGTCGAACCTTGCTTGAATCATCCACACCCACACCCTCACCCCCCTCTTGCTCCCCAGCCCCTTGGCCGTCGTCTCCAAGCAGAGGGAGAGCGAAAAGAAAGTTCAGTTAAAAATACGGTAAAGTGAACTGCCCTGGTTCTTGTGTAAATAATGGGGTATGGTAGCACTTGAGCCCCAGAACTGCCAATCATGTGGCCCCCCCGAGCAGCAAGTGTGCCGTGACTGGCCCGCCTTTTCATGCACTCGGACCCCACAAGGAATACCACCTTGGCCCAACCTCGCCCAACTTACCCTGCACATCAAGAGCTACTTCGCCCTAGCCTTCCGACTGCCTCTCCTTAGCTCAACATCACGTTGCCCTTTTATCCTTACCTCACCTTGTCAACTACGAGCCATCCCACTACCATTACCACTACCGCCAACGTTTCCTCCCCATCTAGGAGCTAAGGCATACCCTACCGTCCGTCCTCTTCTCTCGGCCTTGTCATTTCTGGCGGTATACGCGGTCTCTTGCTGCATCGCCCTCTTCGCCTCGTCATCGCGGCCGCCTGGTAGGCTCCCACCTCTCTCCCTCGATATTCATCGCTCTGCCCTCCTGCTACCTCTTACACTTCTCCCTCCCACCCCCTCCACCCCCAGCCTGCTGCTACCCGTTACTATACTCCTCATCCCACCCAACCTTGCCTTTCAACGTCTCCGCTCTGGGCGCATCCGACTGATCATAGACGATAGCCAGGGTGGATCTCGTCCTTGTAACGTCTCGAGGGAGTCTCTCCGTTTCTCTTCCGTCTCGCTCGGCAAGCCCACACACGCCTCGCCTACTACGGCCGCCTCTGCACTGATCTGCAGCTGCCCGTCCCATCGCGATCGAACCCGTTCCTCGAACCCACCAGAGCCCTCGTGGGCGCATCATATCGCACCGTATCATATCGCATCGCATCGCATCGCGCCTCGCTCGTTGACAGAGATGGCCTCCAACTCGTTCCGGGATTCTATCAACTCGCTTGGCTGGAGTCGTCGTGACGAGGAGCCTGTCCACACAGCCCATAGCTCGGGGCTGTTGTCGTCCATCCAGAGCCTCAACCCCTTCCAGGGCCGTGGATATGTCTCCTTACCAACTACCGAGAGTGCCGGCGCACCCTTGCCGGCACCCAGTCGCCGAGAGGAGGAGGAGGGCTGGTTCGCTCGTGAGTCAACCCAACTCCCGATGCCCATGTCGTGCTGCGCTCTGCGCTCCGCCGGCGCACCCCTGCAGCGGGACATGTGCATCGCGCCTTAGTCTATGCTTTAGATTCTGCATGTGATGCATATGCAGCCAGCTTTGGGTACCATTTTCTAACCCTCTTGGCAGTCAGTCGCTGGGATCGCTTGTTGATCTTCGGGGCTTGCAACCTTGCCGCCCTCGCCTGTTTCGTCATCTGCTTCACCCTCTTCCCGGTTCTTTCCTTGAGACCGCGCAAGTTTGTGATACTGTGAGTGGCACAACATGGCATTCTTGACTTCTCTATCTTTCGTCCCTGCACATCCCATAACCCTTCCCACCCTCCTTCTCTCCCTCTCCCACCCCCCGTGATGCAGTCCTGGTCCTGTGATTGGGCTGCGGGGGGTGGTTTATGCACACTGGCCTTGTTATCTCTCCCCCATGATTCCCGTATCGCCTCTCTCCCCAGCTTCGACGCAACGTGCCTGCCGGTCCTAACGCTCCGAAGGTGGTCTGTAGGCTCGCTTCTGTTCTTGGCATCCTTTGCCGCAGTCATGGGCCCCATGAACTACGTATACCACCTCGTGTCGACACCCAGAATACCATTCACGGCAGCCTACTTTGGCTCTATCATCATGACGTTGGTCTTTGCGCTCAAGGTAAGCCCCACGTGGGAGCGAGCGGGCGGCGGAGTGGAAGCTAACTCCTCTCAGCTTCACAGCACTATCCTAACTCTCTTATCGGCCTTGGTTCAGCTGGCCTGCCTTGTCTGGTATCTTGTCAGCTACTTCCCCATGGGTTCGACAGGTCTGCGCTTCGCCACCACGTATGGCGCCAGGCAAGCCGCTGCGTGGATGAGCGGCTAAGCCTTGACTGCTGACATTTGTATTGGCGTACTTTGTACGATAAGGGCGTCGACTTGACATCACTTAGCCCAAAGATGCTCCCACGCGACTACGATACCCTGCCTCCAGAGCAACTGGGCTCTTTGGATATAGGAGGCAGCCCTGTCTTGTATTTTTAGTGTTCATCTACCTGAGATCGTGATCCATGCGGCACGTATGCATTTTGGGGAGCGTGTGAGTCACAGCCGTCACATGGCCATGCACAGCGTGCCTACCGAATAGATAGCACTATCTTGGCCGGTAATATTTCAATATCTTGCAACAGTAGTTGCTGGACAAAGCGTATCGGGGTCATGGCCGAGTGAGTGACATGGTTTGTGCACTTTGCCTGGTCAAGGAAATTGCATTTTCCGCGGAAGCGGCCAGAAGTGTCTTGCGCAGCATGAGTGGCTGTGCCAAATGCATGCCTTGATCGTGATTTACATGAGGACATGGTTCGCGTGGGATGCCTTGAATACGGAGCTGCAGAGCAAATGAAAGTTCCACTTGTTGAAAGGTGGAAATGATGTGCAGACTCAAGAATGACTACATTCGACTGCCTTGCTCGCTCTCAGGCGTAGTAACAGCCACCCATGGTTGTGAGGTTGGGCCGTGTTATTGGCCAAACCCTCAGTCTGATTCTCTTTCTGTTTAGCATCTTGCACCGCTTCACTTTGCGCATCGCGTTTCGGCAGAACTACTTGGGAGGTAGACACCTGTTGCTTCTTAACTTATACGTCCGACAAAAATAAACCAGATAATAACGAGCTGGAAACAGCAAAAAGATTCGACAAAGACAAGATTCGAACTTGCGCGGGCGAACCCACCACATGACTTGACGTTTCAAGTGTGGCACCTTAACCACTCGGTCACTTTGCCGTTGTGATGCTAATGGGATTTTGAAATTGCCTTTATCAATGCATTGACATTTACTGGGCAAAATCTCAAATCTTCCGGGCACTGGGGTGACTTACATGGGAGCTCCTACACTGGAGATCTAACTGTATTGCTCCCAGCCGTGAGGCTTTTTACTTCACGGCACTCAACAGCATGGCCTTGATGTATCGTGTCTTTCATTTGTACTCACGGGTAATATGATTGTGCGACATGGAGTAGGCTGGTTGGTGAGATGCCCATGGTTGATTGCCTCAAAGTACTAACTTATCAGACAGCTCACTCCTCTACAGCCCCCAACAACCATCTAGACGCAGAATTTATCTTCCCAATCAAATCCAACCACGAGATGAGTGATGACGACTGTCCGAGTGAAAGCGGGTTAACGAGTCGTAGAGCTGCCACTGAACCGATCCAGTCTGAAGTGAGATAGGATTGGGTCGGTGATGTTTCTTATGATCTGCTTGCTCAACAGGTCACCAACAATAGCAGCGTTTGTGACACCAGAGTGCATCACAGCAATGCTAAGTCCATCAACACCCGTCGGTCCAAGGATGGGCAACCCGTCCTCCGGGTCAGGACGGACCCCAATGGTATAGTAATCGTACTCGAGCTTCTCGTCCCCGTTAAAGGCAGATTGCAGTTTGGCAAAAAGTTCCTGTGCAGTTGCCTCCGGGTCATCACCAGGATTGCCGCCCGAGAACTGGGAGCCGGAGCGGATGCGCCCTTCGGCTGTCTGGCGGAAATGGAGCTGTACCGCATTCACCAGGCTACCGAGTAGCCTCTCTTTGATAGGCTTTGTGTTGATGAGCATGCCCTCCCTTCCCGATACGGGGAGGGGAATGTTCTCTGTTGCGAGAAGTTCCACACTGCCGAGGCCAGCTGCTACCACGACATGATCCGCCAGTACCTCCCCGTTAGAAGTCCGGACACCGCGCACAAGGTCCCCTTCTTTCAAGAAACCAGTGACACTGGACTCGAGGACTGTTGCACCCAGTGCCTCAGCTTCGGCGATGAGCTGGGCAGCAACAATATGGGCTTCCATGGCACCCTCTTCCCCAACATGAAGCCCCCACTCAGGAATCTCGGTGTCGTTGAGATTCGGTTCCATATCGGTGATATCAGAATGCTCCACGCGAACGATATCATAGCCCCAGCTTGCGTGGTTGTCAAGGTACTCGTTCATCTCTTCGGGGGACCCGTCCCAGTTCAATGAACCGCCCCAATGAATGGGAAGCTCGGGAAGCTCCTGGCCAATTTCGTGCCAGCGCTGCATGGATCGGCGGCGGAAGTCATAGTAGAATCTGGGATTGTTGTAGGCGGCATTGAGCCAGGCGAATGAGTTGGGAGTAGCCACACCTCCAATGTTCTCGGCAATGATCGTGACGTTGGCGTCTTTGGCAAGATGCCAGGCAATTGAGGAGCCGACAATGCCTCCACCAATGACAACGACGTGGGGACTTGCTGGTAGACTCATCTTGCTTGGCAAATCGGTTTGAGTAGCCGGGTTGCTGGAGGCAGTAGATTGCTGCATCTCGGTCGCGTAACCAGGACTTGGCTGCCTTCTTAAGTACTTGATTCAGGGACAGTCCGGGCGGAACTCGGTCGCCGGATCCAAGCCGACATCATGTATGATGGGCAAGGTAACTGATGTGTGGCGGATGCCTCCAACTCGAATGCAACCGGAAGGTGGTTCATGAGCTCATCCCCCGCACTTGGAGACCCGCCTCAAGCATAACAGATGGAGATAGCGTGCTCAAGACAAAGGCGTAAGTCACCAAGTCACCTGCAGTAACCCTTTCTACCTATTGTTCCCTGTATCCGAAAGTGGAGAGTTGGGGGCCAGGAGGGAAAGATGAGAGGTGTATCGGAGGGGAAAGGACCCGTTTTGGATGCCGAGGACACGCAGGAATAGCGGGGAGGCCCGGGGATGATGCGGCCCTCGCCCGGGGTTGCGCCATTCACCACCATTTCTCATCCTTCTAGCCTCTCGGCAGTGGCAGAGTTCGGGCAAGGATGGATGGGGGTAAAGAAGATAACACTCGGGAATATACTCTGTACATAGGTAGCCAGCCCCTGCCTGGCCGTTGTGGAACAGATGGCAGCCTTTCCAGTACCTGCCATGTCCAGCTTCCGGGCCACTTCCGGCAGCCAAGGTAGCAACAGTCTGCGGCGACTTGCTGGAAAAACCAGTGGGTGCTGGCACATGGGGAGAGCTGGAGGATCCAAGGCCAGCCAGCGGTGGTGGTGGACGATCGACTGTGTAAGGTCCAGATAGAAACACGCCTCGACTCTGCCAATTGCCTAGGTAGAGCCTAAGGGATAGGTAGGTCGCATTCAAGGGCACAGCCGGGTGCTGAAACATTCGTAGCAAACAAAGACAACTGGCCCGGCTGCCAGTGTCGCACGCATATGCAGCTTAATCGTTTCTCGTTCCCTTTGTGGAACGGCGCGATTGGCTGTTTGTGATAGCAAGTTGCAGGGATTCAAGTCGGCGTGAAGTCCGGTAGATAGGTAGCCAAGCATTGCTGTCGACCCGTGATCCGACAAAATGTCTTGAACAGTTCTTATACGGTCTGTGATGGCCAATGTTCTGACAGGTATGACAGAGTCTCGATTGGAGGCTGCCGGGGCACCAGGAAGAAACCCAGTCCGGATGCGCTTGAAAGCGGAGGTTCCAGTACAAGATGGGCGCATTCGTCGCACCGAAACGCCAATCCACAGCGTTCATGACAGGCAGGTGTGAGACACGGACGGGAGTTGGTGTTGGTGTTCTGGGAGCGTAACTCGACCAGAATGCCATGTCACAACTATGATTGCATGTAGTATGTAGGTAGGTAGGCGTGCAGGATGGATGACTGAGTTGAGTTGGGCTAGTTCATTGGCTGCCTGCGTTTCCTGCCAGATAACCGATGTGGCATGCATGAGGTGACGAAATAAACGAAATAAATCATGGACGGGTCTTACACAATAAGGCAACTACGGTACGGGGTGTCGGCTTCCCTGAATGCAGATGCACCTGCCTACAAAGTATGCAATCATTCCATTGAGCTAAAGGGAGGGAAGGCAAAGAGGCAAAGATGGAATGAACACTTTTTTGCTTCCCGCGTTCCAGTGCCCTTGTTCCAGCCGACGTTCAATGCTCGCGGACTGCTAACAGCGGATGCATCCACCAAGCAGCTTTCTTCCATCTCGTATTATTACAGGCCTACTTATGTAGGTTATTTGCTGTCGTATCCGGTCGTGCTGCGCCTCTGGCTGCCTACCCGCCGGCCAAGCCCAGCTTACATCCATGTGGTGCCTATTTCCTATTTCCCACTTCCCCAACTAATGCTCCCGCCAGCCAATTTCCGGACCTGACGACGTCCCAAATAATTAATCACTGACAACTCAATCCTGGACCTCGAATATCGACGCTCCCCCCCCATCCCTCCAGCCAGCGCGCGCGACACTTGTCCCTCTCCCCGGCTGAGCGGGAGCACGCCAACTCCAGCATTCGGCACAATGGCAGCGCCTGCAAAGACGCCCGCGTCTTCCAACCGATGGGGCTCGTTCCTGTCCCAGGCCGTCGCCGGCGTCGAGTCCCGCCTGGACAACATGCTTGGTGATGCGGACGATGGCACAGCTTCTGCCGCCAGCTCCCAGGGCCATTCCAGGAAGCCTTCGAGCTCGACTCCGACGCCGACATCGACGCCGACGCCGCCAGCCAGGACCAACTCAGGTAGGCTTCTTTTCCCGCAACCGCTCTCCTATCCCTTCTCACAACATCTGCAGTCAATTCCCGCGCAAACTCCACCACTCGTGCGAATGACCGGCTCCAAGCAAGGCTGGCCAAGGCCATGGCCGCCAAGGGCCAGAGCGGCGCTGCTTCCCCTCGCAGTTCCATCGACCAGGCCAGAAGACCCTCGATGGAACGACCCTCGATGGAGAGGCCTTCGATGGAGAGGGACTCTAGCGACGCATCGGCTCCCCAAACTCCTCAGACCCCGAATGCACCAACTATCGATTCGACCGAAGCCGTATCCCAGACCAAGCTCCCCGACCAAAACGGTTCATTAGATGCCCATGCAGATCAATCCACCGAGACCTCGACACCAGCCAACACCGCCGACGAAAAGGACTATGCGCCAGCAAAGCCCCAAGCCGAAGAGACAGGAGAAGCGCCCAAGCCAAAGTCGGAACAGACACCAACACCAACAATTACAACAACTCGGCCGGATTCAGATCAGATAACGCAACCTGCAGCAGCAATACAACCCTCGGCTCTCGAAGTAACGTCCGGCGATGCTTCTAAGCTAAAGCAGGAGGTAGAGAAGCTCAAGCAGCAGCAGCAAGAAGAGGTGCAAGAGTATATCGAGAGGATCGATACCCTCCAGGCCAAGATTCAGTACCTGTCCAAGAATGCTGCCGAGTCGGCAAAAAAGACGGCCTCTTCTGCGCCGTCAGGTAGCATGGAGCGCAAGCTGGCAGAGAAGGATGAGCGAATAGCTCTGCTTATGGAGGAAGGACGAAAGCTATCGACCACAGAGCAAAAGTTCAGAACTGCGTTAAAGAAGCTTCGGCTACAGTTGGCCGACACTGAGAAACAGGTGGACGAGTTGAAGAAGGGCAAAGACAAGGCTTTGTCAGACTCGGAAGCCTTGCGTAGTAAGCTGGAGAGTAGCGAGAGCAATGAGAAGGTCCAGGAAGAAGCCCGGCGGGCAGCTGCTGGCCTGCAGAAGGAGATCGAATCTCTGAAGAAGGAGAAGGCGGCCAAGGATGAAACGCTGCGTCGACTTCGGCAGGAAATGGAGACGCAGGCGGAGCAGGCCGAGACAGCTAATTCGAATGCCCTCAAGAAGGCATTGGATGCGGAAAGGAGTAAGCAGAAAGAGCTGGAGGATACCCTTGCGGGTCTCAGGGCGTCCAAGGAAGCGCAAGGCGAGAAACACCGATTGGAGCTCATAGATCTGCGAGAGAAACTAGATCGCGCGGTAGAACGTGGG